CGTGGCGAAAGCCTTCTGGGCAGACTGAGGATCCTTGAGCAAGTCGTGGAATTGACCTTTGCGGAGGAGGATCCTCTTGTATGATATCTCTTGAATGGGAACTCCAAGTTCCACCAAATGTTGCAAAGCTTCCAGGGCCATCAGGCTAACATCATAATTTCCGAGAATTGCCGCGTATTCCACAGAGAGCAGAAGCGGTGCGATATATGCTCCTACATCAAGACATTTCACATGTGTCTCTTGGTGAGTCTTGCAGGTCCGAACGATCTCGCACAGTTGTTTTACCCCTTGCGACACCGTTTGGTTGGAAAGCACTCCGGTCAAAAACCCGTATTGGAGGGAGAGGAGCGAACGAAGTTCTGGCTCATATCTCGACAGGAAGACATTTTCAGCCGCAAGGTCAGCATCGAGTATTCTGCAAATGACAGAGGAGTTGATGGCAGTGGCCGAAACTGGCACTTTCTTCTTCAAAGCGAGCTGCAATAGCTGATTGATGACCCTCATGCTATACACCAGATATACCGGTTGTGGCAACAGTGACAGCAGGGTGTTCGCCATTGTCGCACATAGATCGACTCTGTGATCATTCATGCCTAGGTCGACCATTGCGAGTAACTGTTTCTCAAGCAGCACCGCACGGTGTAATGAAGGTAATGACGGGTCGTCATAAAAGCTCTCACTCTCGCTCTCGCTCTCGCTTATCGGCGTATGGTCAAGGATTGCTTTAGAATAGGTGGTTAGAACTCTTCCCAAGGCTTTGCATCCTAAATCTGAATGTGACCACGCCCGGTGAAAGGACACGGACAGAAGCAGATCCGCAACATCACCGAGGACGCCGTCCTTAATGCTGATTTCGATGGCGGTACGAAGGGCGGTTTCGGCCGTTCGAAAGTCACGCTCTTCCAAGTAGCAAGCTGCCAGCCTTTCATATTTGAGTGCGACATGCGCTACCTTTTGATCGGCCAGGGGCAAGTCCAACAGACCGAGGAGTGACATGCCCAGAATCCTCGACTGTTCCAACGGGGTTTTGCTCTCTTTGACGGCTTCCAAGTACCGTGCCCAAAACAACTGAGATATCCGTACTCTAAGCTGGTTTAGCGACGTCTCTAGTCTACACTGCGTCATCAAGGCAGCGCACTCGACTTGAAGAGTCTGGACTGCCGCTGAGCAGTCTTCGAGAGCCTCTGAAGCCGCCGCTACCAGATCTGCGTCTTGCGTAATAGCAAATTGTTCGGCGGACAAGACGGCATCGATAGTCTTCAGTAAGGTAGTTAGAAAGGCTTTGCGCTTCTCGACGCTCGAATTTTCTGAAGACAATATCAGAATTGAACGGATGTGGCGGCGTAAGAAGTTGAAGGAACAATAGGTAAAGCGGATTAGAGTTGTCTGAAAGTCTATCAAGGGCCCATTTGCTTCCATATGAGGTCGTGTCTTGTCAAACGAAATGAGTTCGGCGGCGGCTTTGCGGAGCTGGGCCAACAGCAGTAGGAATTTGTCAAGGTCAGCTGGAGGTAGCTCTCTTGGTTCCGCAAGAGCACTCCCCATGCTCTTTAATGACTCCAGTGTCTTTGTTGACCTACTTGAAGCTCGTAGGCGTGATAATGTGATTTGACACCGCAATATCAGATGCGAAGCGCCGCTTGTTTGCCGAAGGCGCTCTTCCACCAAAGCAATGAGCTGAGGATATTCGTCTGGATCTCGAATGACTTGTAACAGAGTGCCAATCATGTCTGGGGGTGTGTTAAACTCGCATTTGAATGGCCTTGTGAGCTTCTGAATCGAACCAAGTGCCTGAAACGTGTAAGCTGTCGACGCTTTTAGGTCCTTGGTGGTTGCAAATAGCTGCTTGATCGCTCTGTGAAGCGGGTGCCATACTTCTGTCGGCGGGCTGGGTAAGTGACCAGAGTGAACCCACGATTCGAACTTGATACGTAACGACAAGCAAAACAGTTTGAAAAGATCCAGGGGTGACGAATTCTCTCCTTTTGAGCTCGTAGCAAGAGCGTACAGCTTAGACAATGCAAGAGATATGGTGCGAAGCTGTAAGCCAGACTGTTCTGATGTCAGGAGTTTGTTTTCCAGTGCTCTTGACGTAACCCAGGCTGGACTCCCAATAGCGTCCGGCTGAAGTGACTTAAGAAGCTCGGAGTCGATGCATTTGGGCCCAACCAGTAGAGCAAGGCGCAGAGCCTGACTCTGCAACGATGCTGTGAATCGGAACCTTCGATCTTCATCTGCAGCATCTGGTCGCCCTAGCAGAAGCTTCGCGATATTTGATTGAGATGAAGATTTCTTTCTGACCTCATCTCCCCAGTATCTTTCGTGGATATCGCAGAGCTGGCGTTGTGCTTGCTTGATGAGATTCAACGAGATGCTTCTGTCTAGCAGGATCAGTGCGGCGTTCTCCAGCTCCGCGTTGTTGCCTGCGGTGGACACTACATCTTTGTGATCAGATCGTCTCAAAAACAGCAATGCGGAGTAGGAAAGATCTGCCAGTAAGCCCGAGTCCGTTGGGGCGTTGCAGATGGTGCTCTTCTTGGAGTCGAGGGCGGGCTTTCTGCGTTCCTTATTCGGTGACCGTTCTTGAAGTGGTCCATTATTGGGGTTGACAGACGATTCAGTTTTGGTTGCTGGAGCTTCTCTAAGAGCTTTGGCTGCCTCTCCAAGACACTTCAATGTGGAATTGAATGTGTCAGTAGCAATCTTTCGTCGCTCAGTCTCCGACAGACGCGGTATCTTCTCGTCATTGGTCTCATGAATCTGGATTACTGCGCCTGGCTTTTGTCTGTTTCTAGTTGCGTGTCTGATGGGTGGCCGACTTATGCTGGAGCCTTTTACTTGTCTAGCCTTTTTGGTTGAAGCACAAGCGGCTTTAGATTCGCATTCGTCGAAGGAAGCAAGGCCGAGAACAGCTCGCAAAAACCTCAAGGTTCGTGGTGTGGGCGCTGATAGGTTGAGGTGCGTGCGAACCCAGTCAGATGGTGCAGAAGCGACGGGATCCTGAAGAGGTGTCATTGTATAGGGATGGCGACTAAGAGCATAACGCACCGTTTTACCGGTCTGATTATTGCTTGGTTTTGGATTATGATTAATGTCTGGTGTTGGTGGTTGAAAGCGCGCGGTGGCCCATTTTGGCCATAAAATAAACAAGGGACTGTCGCCGCCGCTTAGACCCGGCGTTAACACTGGCGAGGCCTCGGCGCTAACCAACTTGGCGGCAAAAGCGTTGTGAAAACTGCTCGCAGCCTTTGGGACTCACCCAAGCCCCGCCGCTTTTATAACTGCGCATCTTGCTCAATAATGACCTGCCATCATTGGTCGAAAACTCGCGAGTCGGCCACTGGAGCACGTGATGAATTTCCTCCAACATCCGTTCGATGAAATCCACACATCCATTCACTTCCTAGTCACCTGATGCTACACACCAACCCATGTAAGTATAAGTGTATTTTTCCACGTCAAGTGGAGGTTATGAAGCAGTTCTGGGGGGGACAGCTTGGTGAATGGAGCTTGAGTTCAAGAACGGAAAAAAGGTGATGTGTCGCGTGAATAGGAGGAAAGCTGGCGTTTCTACTACGGCCATCGGTCAAGCTACAGCATCGCTCAAACTGGCTCCTCTCACACAGTTCCCCGTTCTTTGGTTTTCCCTTCACCAGGTTGACACGAGTGCAGTCAGTGGATACCCTGCGCATTTTGCCACTACACTCAGATCCGGAACGCGCCGCCTCATGGGTAGGAGTGTGCAAAGACGAACCACTCATCGCTCTCTTTCGACAGTATCGGGCTGTGTCGAAGTGAGGTGGACCTCGGTCAGTACCGTGCTATCGTCTTTGACAAAGGTTGCTATAAGATCCCGTTGAATGAGAGCAGAGACCATCATCCCGACAAGTTATAATGAGATAGTATCATACTGGCGATGATGTCAACGCGGGCCACGGGATCTGCCTACCGCTTACAACCATCCGAGAGCCAGGACGGAGATAGACTGGCGCTTTTATGGGGTCGGCCAGACGCGAATGCACTGTAGCTCATCTCAGCCTCCCTGTGCTGTGCAGCATTGGTTGGCTTGCTTTGTCGTAACCGACTCACTGAAACGCCACAACACGGCCAGGTTTTCACCATCTTCGCCATAAGATATGATGCCCGTGGAGTTAGCGCGTCTGGTGAAGGGGTATCAACGGCTATAAATATGGCCATCCCGTTCGAGCAGTTCGTTGGGGCGAAACGCGTAACGACCCTGATCATTTGTTCGATCCAGGGGATGCGCAGCACAAATTCCCACTCCTCGAATCTTGACACGGTCAACCCACTCGATTCCGCTTGCTTCGTCAAGAGGAGGAGGGCGGGTAGGCCGATCCAATCCCAGTTCCCCTGTCGTCCCTACGCAAGAGTCGGCGTGGAAGGAGATCTCTGTACGGAGATCCATAAGTACATGGCCTCTTTCACCATTGTGATCGCAGCTTGGCCAACCAAGTCAGTGGACCCAGCATGCTGGCGAAGCGATATCCCAGTACGTGACCGATTCGTGCAACACTGTTTAAGGTCAATACTCGCTCATGACCAATGACGAAAGGACGTACTGTACGTCCTTTCCTGTCATGGCATATGCAAGACTCGGTATGAAGAGGGGCATTAAGCCAGCCCCGGATTCATTTTCACCGTTGCGAAAATGGACATAAGGAGTGCTGCAAAGTTGGTCTTTCAAGAATTTGAGGCTGTCTTGAGAGTGCGAACAAAGCACATGGTATGAGGAAATTGATCGGTCCCTGGATAGAGTAAGCATGTCAGAAGTGTTCCAGTCATGTGAATACCGAATCTCATTTCTTCTTTGGTTTCTTGAATGTCGCCTTTTTTGATGTTTGGGTAACAGAAGTTTCTGGTGTCGAGTCCTGAGGGTCGAGGTGCCTCAGCTCGTCGGCAACTGCAGCTCCTGAGTCCGAGAGATGATGGCTTTGGAGGCCCTGTGAAAGTCCAGATGATGAGGTAAATTGCAGATCGGATTATTCCAAGACCTCAAAATGTATATCGGGTGGTATTGCGTCGATTGCCGAGCAAAGCCTTTTAAAGTGAGCAGGCATCCAGGTGTTATAGACGCTCTTGGTAAATTTATATGCCGTCCATTTCTCTTTGCCATCCTGTTCTGTAAAGTCGAACTTACGGATAGTGTGGCGGTAGAACATGGTCTTTTTGCCTTCGATCACAGGGTAGTGGCTATAGATCCTCACAGTCTCGTTGTCATGCGAAATGGAAAAGGCGAGGATCTCCCGATGAAGCTCTTGCTCGCGCTTGACTAGCCGGAACAGTTCCACGACTCCCCGAACAGCGAGCGTCATGCTGTGCGCGTTCTGTCGATCTGCCACGTCGAGTGCGGCCGCACCGCACTTCACTTCGCTCGAGAAGAAGGGGAAGTACATGTACCATGTGCCCATGAAGAAGGAGTTGTCGGTCAGGTCGCCAACGAATGGCTGAAGTTTCTTAAGCTGGTCGTCTGTAAATGCAGAGCGTTTGAAACCCACAGAGTAGTCTGGTTGAGGTCGTCTCTTGGTAACAGGAATTGAATTGTTCCAACCCTCATTGATGCTCTCAGTTAGTTTATCGAGATGTTGGGCACCAAACGTAGCCAGCGTTTCCGCAGATGGGACGATTAGTTGGGCTATATCCTGGATCACCCTTGCCTCATTTCTGTCTTGGAACTTTCTGTAGGCTTTCTCAAACACGTCATCAGAGAATATAGAATCCTTGGGGGTCGTTTGCTCCTTCGTCAACATGTCGCGACAGAGAGCTTTGCTCTCTTTTGTAATATCTAGCTCGGACTTGTCCATATAGCTTCCCACAGCCTCGAGTAGGATCCTGTAACGTGGGTCTCGATAAGGAGCACTCTTCTCCTCCCTTGACTTTTGGTCACTCGGTGTAGTTGAGCTGGGTGCGCTAGACTCGCTATCCGATCGCTTTCGGCGAAGAGAGTCGGTGGATTTCTTTCTCGCGAATAAATGACTCATTTCGCCATTTTCGTGGAAGTATCCTTGGGGCCAGTGGGATGTCTGCGTCCAATACGTAATAGAATCAACGTCCTGAAGAGAGGGTCTAGGGCAAGATGTTCGCGGTCGTTTTGGAGAGGGTGGTTCTAGCTGCTGTTCGGCTTCTCGTTTCCGCTTCGGAGGCTTTGGTGGTAGAAAGGTAGGTGGTGAGTGTGCACACTGTATTAGGTCAGTCTTCATCACTACCATAACATTGGCGACTTACATCAGGGACTTTAATGTCGCTGGCTGGAGGTGGGAGAGGCTGCCGGCTGGCTTTTAGTCGAAGCTCATGGACCTCAATCAAGCGGTCCAGACGGGCGCTTCGTCGAAGAGGGTGTTGCTGTTGTCCTTTCTTGATGCCTTGAGGGCGATCTGCTTTGCTGGTGAGTCGAGGACTGATGGAAGCGGCGGATAAATGACCTTGATGTGGCAGCCCCACGGATTGCCTTCTGATCTTCTGAGCGGTTACACTGTCTCGTGGTGCCATGATTGCTCGAAATGAGGGTGAAAGGAATGGGCAGCTTCAAGTAGTTGCCGCCAGTGAATTACCATCGCAGTTGGGAACTATTAGCGCCTAGACCTAGGTAGCATGTGACATCACACGAAAGGCGGACGGTTAGGCCACAGGGGCTTCTTGGCAACCCGCATGATGCATGCTTATGTTGCGGAGCCAAAGTGCGATGGACTGGCCATTCGCGGTAGAGAAACAATAGTGACTGCGTGATTCGTACGAGGTACTCGGGCGTTTGACAGCGCACCGGGAAGACACGGCGAATAGGGTTCTGCTTCCATCTTTGGGGGGCCTCACCTGGCTCACCCTGGCTCGCGAGCGACCGGGGTGAGCACAGGGCGGCATCACCCTCGTCCCAAAGAGGGGTGCACTGGGCGCGATTTTACCTCCTCTTGGCGCCGCTAAACTTGAGTGTGAGTGTCTGTAGCTCATACTTGGTGTAAGGAATCGGATTCGCATTGCGGACAATACATTGCGGAACACACCGCTCATTCCTTGAATATAAATGAGCTGCACAAAGTCCATCCTGTCCTGCAGCGTAGCTCAGCCTCGTCTGCTCAGAACAAACCTATCGAACCCAAGTTGGTCCCGGTTGCGCTGGCTGTGTCGATCCCGCCATACCACCTCCCAAGAGCGCCGTCTTCCTCGCATAGCTCAATCTTCCATATGGGACTCGATCATTCCTAGAGCTTTTCGAGACAGATCGCTATCCCATGAGCAGTCCGTGCACAAGAAACCCTCGAACCCGGCGACATATTTCATATGGATCTATATCCTGATCGGCTCTCAAGCCATTCGAATCATTGGTGTCAAGAACGAATTCATGGCCTTTTCTCGCAGAGCGGATGTCAAGATAGAAAAGCTTAGAGAGGTCGTCAAAAGGCTACAGAATGGTGAAGAAGTGGACGTGGAGAAGATCCTAGGCACAGGAGATGATAAACAAGAGCGCGAATGGGAAGAAGTGTTGGAAGAATTGCAGAGAGAGGACAGAGTATGGCAGAGCAACAAGGAGAAAAGTCGCGAAGTGAAAGAACGCCTGGCTAAGGAAGAACAAGACGCCAATCCTGTCAACGACGTTCAAGAAACGGCTCTAGCGGCTGACCGGTTACCTCCATCGTCTAATAATGCTTTTCCACGAAGTCCCGGATTCTACTGAGCTTTTCAGCAGTATATGTAGAGCTGGTCATTGGCAAGAAAGACTGACAAAGTGCCAGCGGGGAGGATGCATAACACTGAGCTCCCTTCAAGGAACGATGGGGAAGAAACACGATTGAGGTTCGCATATGGCAGAAGCTCAGCTTGCTGTACACTCTTCTGTGTGCCTTTCAAGGGAGCAACGAGGCTTGAAGTTCCACTCATACCCTCTTCAAGATAGAGCCGAGCCGGGGGAAATACCTGCGAACACTATTCAGCACCTCAATGGTCACCTATCACCTTCTGAAGCCTAGGAGTCTACCCTCCTGCGGTCTCCCATCAACGGAGTTTGCGCAGTCGAGTGTGGAACTTACTCGTCAAAGGTACCAACTGAGACATGTGCCGCCACTTTTGGAGGGGTCTGGACTGCTGGATCAATGCCGATATCTGTCGCCGTATAGCTCGAGCCCAGGAACTTCTCCATCACGTCCTCTGAGCTGATTTTCTCGGCATCGTTCCCCTCGGTGTGCTGCAGAAGTCTGCTGACCCAAGCGCGGACCTTTGAAAAGTCCTTGACTGAGTTACCCGGCTCAGCCTGTTCGTCCAGGGTCTGTAACCAGCCAGCTTAGATGAACATCGGCAACGGAACATTCATCTCCTTGAATCCACAGGCAGCGCCACCAGAAAATCATTCTCGGCATCATCTAACATTTGGAAGAACCCTGCTTGTGGACTGGGCAGTTGTTTCTTGCACACATTGACCAAGATTCCGGACATTCTACTCCTACGATACGAATTAAGGATTAGGGGATGTTCTGGAATGCCGTTCATTCGGTCAGCTGGAGCGAGAAGAGAAATTATCCTTACTTTCTTCGAGCGAACTAGGATTCTGGTTACCCAAGTGCCAAGGTCAATGAGCGTCACCAGTCTGCCTCTCGCTGCAGCCTGCTTAATATTTCTACACTCCACATGACGGCCAGTGCATCTTCTTTGCGGGGAGAGATCAGAGAGAAGATCTGGACGGCAAAACAGACCACCCGCAGCCCTCGGATGTGCTGATGCTAATGTGGGTTTTCTAGAGATGTTACAATCTCTGCTTAGCTTGAGCGCAATTCTTGGGGGATGAGTTACGCAATTGACTGCCAGATCCATATAGGTCGGTAAGATGCTACAAACTTGTGTTCGGTCTCCAGGCCTCACAAGTGAGCCAACTACACTTCTAGTAGCAAATCCGTGCAAACTATATTCCTGTAAACTTCTCCAACATTTACCAGCAAATTGACACTATATTGGCGGGCGTCTGGCAGGTATCTCTATCAATTTCTCATCCGCGCTTGGTATTAAAATACCAGGTGTCTAAGGGATAGTGGTGAAACTCAATCCCGCAACACTCCTGTCACGACAATATCTAGGTATATTCCTTTTCTTGTAGAGGCTGCGCTCTGGGACTGGAGTGAGAATGCCACTGATCCGCCTCTTCGGTCCGTCTTGGACAGGTCATCCTGAGGAAGAATGTTGTCGAGGAGGTAGTCGGACGTCTCATCAGGAAGCGTTGCTTGGCTCTCGCCCACGCACAGGTGAGAGAGGATACTGAAATGCAGGTCAAGCCGCACTTAGGATTGCATGATGCACGTCACGGCAAGGAGACAAAGGCTCTGCAGTTCCCTCGGTAGCTCGCTAGATGGCCAATCATGACAGTAGCAGAGTGAGATGCAAGAGACCACCTGCGCTTTGCAATTAAAGCGGCACAGTGGAGAGCGATCTCGACCCGCCAAGGCTGCGAAAGTGCCTCCAACTTGCCTCCGCTTTATATTTTTCATACTTAGAACGGCCACATCTGCACCAGCAATAGCAATTGACCTAAGGATTCATCCACCACACATCGCACAATCGCCCATCACATACCCCAGCCTTTCATAATTTCCCTTTTCACCATCCTCTTTTTGTTGCGCGTCTCCTGTGCTTCAAATCCCTTGTTGCTTTCTCCCCTAGGAGGACTCATTTATCTGTTTGCCTGCGTGCTAGAACATCGACTAAGAGTCTGCAACATCTATCACGTTTGATTGACCGCGCCGCTGGTTCAATCTTCTTATTTCACACCCGCAACCAAACTCATTAGTTTCCTATCCAGGTCCTTCAATCAACTAGCAACGCGACTCGCCTTCAGTTCAGAACGACGACGCTGCACCGCGTTAGGCTCCTCTTACGCTGATATCTCACTATGGCGACCGAGACCACTCCTGTTAATGGCTTGTACGGGGCAAACCAGTACGGCCAGCCTGCTGAACTTGCCGCCTCTACTCCCTCTGCGCCAACTCATGCTACCTCCGCTTCTCAAAGTACTACTACCTCCACCACCCAGCAGAAGGCAGACCCTCAAGAGATTGGCTGGTATTTTGTCGAGCAGTATTATACAACTCTGTCCAAGAGCCCGGAAAAAATTCATCTGTTCTACTCCAAGAAGTCACAGCTGGTCACGGGCGTCGAGGCTGAGAAAGTTGTTCCAGCTGTTGGGACAAAGGTACGTTGTCATGCATCAATTTGAGGGATTTGAACTGGCTGACTGAGAGGAAACACAGGCAATCAGCGAGAAGATCAAAGCCCTCGACCTCCAAGACTGCAAAGTGCGCGTTCTCAATGTCGACTCTCAGGCCTCATTCAACAATATTGTAGTCCAGGTTATCGGCGAGATGTCCAATAAATCAGAGCCACATCACAAGTTTGTGCAGACTTTTGTCCTCGCCGAACAACCCAATGGTTATTTTGTCCTCAACGACATCTTTCGCTACCTGAGTGACGACGAGGATGAGATCGTTGAAGACGAACAACCTCAGCCGGAAGTCCCTGCGGAAGAACCCCCAACTCCTGCTGCAGGTGTGAACGATACCCCATCTCACGTTGACGACGTCGTTGCTACTGAGGACGCAGTCGAGAAGGTCGACGAGAAACTGGAGGAAAAAAAGGCAGAAGAAGCACAAGCAGCAGAGGGACCAGCTGAGGTCAATGGCGATACCCTTCCCGCTCCTGCTGAACAAACTGAGCAAGCTCCTGAGCTCTCAGGCCCCAAGGACGAGGCTGTGGCCAATGAAACTGCCGAACCTGCCGCAACCGAGCAACCTGCTGAACCCGAAGTGGTTGCTGCTGAGCCCGCCCCAGAGGCAGCTGCACCAGCTTCAACTCCTGCTGAAGCTCCTCCTGCGAAGAAGACTTGGGCCAGCATGCTGGGAGGTGGCGTCCAAAAGCCAGCTGTCCCAGCCCTTCCTTTAACTCCGCCGCCGCAGCCAAAGGCTGCCCGACCGTCGCAACCTGCACAGGCCCCCAAAGCTCCCGTTGAACCTGCTCCAACCGCCACAAACACCACTTCCAGCACCCCGACCTCACAGAGCAATGGCTGGCAGACTGCAGATCACAGCAAGAAGAGCAACCGACCACCGAACCGAGCTGTCTCAGAGGGAATTACAATGGCGTACATTAAGAACGTTAACGACAAAGTCGACGCCAGAATCCTTCGAGAGGTTCTCGAGAGGTACGGTGAGCTAAAATATTTCGATGTGTCACGACCTAGGGTATGTCTCCAGTCTCATTGATTGCTTTTCAGGTTTGCTGATGAAATCTAGAACTGTGCTTTTGTCGAGTTTGTTGATGCTGCCGGATACGCTGCTGCCGTTGCTGCCAATCCTCACACTGTCGGTACTGAGCAGATTCACGTTGAAGAGCGTCGACCCCGCCCAAACGCATATGGCGGCAGCAATACTAATTTTAACCGCACCAGTGGAACCACCAACCGTGGCCGGGGTGGCATGCAGGGTGGCCGTTCCGGAAGCCAGACCAACTTTCCAAAGGACGCAGGACGTGGTAGTGGTTACCAACGGGGTGGAAAGCCTGCCACTGGCACCGTCACTCCGAAGGGGCGGGGCCAAGGACAGACTGCTTGAAGCCCCCTCAAGTGCGGGATGCTGAAACATTGCATCAGTCACTGAAAGAATCTTTCGTCACTTGCTTCTTGCATTCCCATGGTTCAAGCGGAGCGACCAAAAAGTGATGGGGTTTGTTTTCAACGATTTTCCTGGCACTGGCGTACTTGGAAAAGTACTTTCCATTACATTACACATATTTTCACGATCCAGCAGTGTTATTCGCATAGCCAGCTTCAGAAGTGTCCAGGACGAAACAGAGAGTGGGACTCCGGTCACCTCCAGCGAGCAAGGCAGCAATGACTTCGGATCGGCTTCACTAGGGTCATGGTCCAAGGCAAGGGTGTCTTTTTCGAGCGAGGTCATGTATTTGTCTGTGTACGAAGGGGAAACATGTTATCCAAGGCCTTGGGGTTCCCTAAAGATAGGATGGGCGCCGGTGTGGGCAAGGAACTGTACAGTAGTCCCTCATTGTGAATGAGACATATCCTACCTAATGGTGATTGCGGGTTGGTTCCTAAAAAAACTCCCAAACTGTCGTGATAAGTCGGGAATTGGGTCAATGCTGTTATAGATGTCTTGGACACGCGAAGTGGGTGAAAGGAGCGATAAGAAATTCCGCCCCGCGCGGCGTGTTCAGTACGAGTTCCGCCAGTGTTGCCTGCGATTGCCGTGGGGTAAATCTAGGATAGGCTGAGGAGTAACTTCAGGCCGCGACATCGGTGACCTGTTTAACTGACTTGTACCTTGCGTACTTGCTTCGCTGTCAGCTGTCGGTCCTGTTCTTTGATCCGGAAACCCTCAACTTCCTTGCCATCCTCCTCCTCGTCGACTGCATCGCCGCCGGCTCTCTCGACTCACCTTGATGACTGCACCATGAGGCCAGGGATAAGTCTTGATAACAGTACAGCAGAGTCACCACGCCCTCGCAAGTCGTCCAATGCCGATTCGCACCCACCCTCAATAGTTGGTGATCGCGAACGCCACAGCAGTTCCGCTACTACTTTCTTCCTCTCACGAGATCCCGATGCCTCCGTCAAGACGCACCAGTCCGATCGAAGTGCCGGACCGCCTTTATCTACATCACCCTTGAGTAGCCTGCAGGATACCATTGACGAGGCCGACCGTGATCGGTCCTCAATTAAGCATACCACACCCCGACAAGCTGAGGCTACAAGTCTAACAAGGAGTGGGAGTCGACGACGCTCAACCATAAAGCCGGGGACAAACTGTGAACGCTTCCGACGGGGCTCTTCCAGCGTGAACCCCGAGACCAACATTACGAGTAATTCACCTCAACCCCTTCCCGAGAGAGTCGTTACTCCTTCACCATTACCCTCACGAGACATTTCACTACCCGGCAGTCCGAAATCTCTCACCTCGCGGAGATCGGTACAGACGAAATCGTCCGCCAATTCCGACGATGAGCTATTGACTAATGCAGATGAGACGGGCAGTCAGGCAATACTATCCAGTGGCGAAGAAGATGACAATGAGGCTGCAGGTGGGCAAGTCGGCGGCGTTGAAATGATGTCTTCAATACGAGGAGTACAAGACAGCCAGCCGGAACTTATCATGCCGAGTATCAAGATGCCGTCTAGACGGCCTTTTACAGAAAGGGGAAAGAAGCTAGGCAGGTTCAAGATTATGGTTGCTGGGCGCAAAGGTAAGTGTAGTTGTCCTCCTTCTCCCATGCACAAAGAGACATGCAAAAGCGGAGCGAACGAAGGCTTACTGACTGTTCCGCGGAGTGCAGGCGTGGGAAAGACCTCTCTTATAAAATCCATCGTCCAGCTCTGCGAAGACATTGTCCATGTCGATCCACTTATAACCACGAACTCGTCTCACACCTCCCATCGGACT